ATTATCATTATTGATTGACTTACATTTAATTGGCGATAGCAGAAGATTATAATTCTCAATCTTTAAGTGTATTGTTCTTAAAATTACTTGTGGTTGCAAAAAAATTAACAATTTTCAAATCTTATAGGCAGTATGATCATGGTAGTCATGAATTAAATTTATCTAAACAAAATTTGCTAATTATTACTGATCATTAGCCTTTATATAGTGTTTCCAGGGGTTACAAATGCATGCACCTGCAGAATCCAGGTGAGTGACTTGAAAGGAACTGGTCAGGCCTAAGATGACCACACAGACAAAAACATTGCTGATCAAGGTTCATGGAAGATTAACTTGTAAATTATTTACTTTGTAAACCAAAGGACTACATCAGCGCAAGGAGTTATTGCACTTAAAACAAGTTAACTGCTAACTTGTGTAAACGTGGGCAAGTCATTTGGTATTTCTAGGATTTAATTTCTTTCTTTGAAAATACAGTTTTATCGATCAAGTCCCTTCTACCTCACTTGATTCTGCTTTTTCATTTCTTTAGCTAATACTTTCTCCCTTGTAAGAAGGTCATCTTAATCACTATAATCTTTCTTCTTAATTATCTGGGACCAAGAAATCTCCCATAGGGTACCAGGCAGCAAGAAGCACAGTGAGTATCATGTCCCCCCTTTGGTACCAGGCAGTAAGAGGGTCATGGGACTATGTTCAGTGGGAGGTGTCCTAGAGCCCCACTACTCAAAGTAGAGTCTGAACTGTTCCAGTCTGCAATGAGGGAAGCAAGAAATTTAGAGTGTTTAGAAAATTTTACAGCAGTTTGACAAGAGTATTGTTTTTGATGAATATAACAAGAAAGAAAATGAGGTTTATTTTATATATCTGTTTTTGCTTGATACTTAACATTTTTATTTTAATAGACTTTATTTTTATAGCAGGTTCAGGCTTACAGAAATATCGACCTGAAAGGACAAAAAGCTGCTGTATACTCCCTCTCCACTCGCTCAGCACTTCCTCTATTAGCAACTTCCTGCATTTGTGTGGTACAATTGATGAACTGATATTGATACATTATTATTAACTAAAGTCCACAGTTTATATTCAGGTTCACTCTCTGTGTTTTACAGTTCTATGGCTTTTGACAAATGCATATCATATATCCATCATTATAGTATCATACAGAATAGTTTCATTGCCTTAAAAATGCCTGGTGTTCTATCTCTTCATCTCTAGCCTCAATTCCCTTTTGAGCCCCTGTGATCTTTCTATAATTTTGCTTTTCCCAGAATATCGTATAGTTGGAATCAGCCTTTTCAGACTAGCTTTTTTCACTTAGCAGTATATATTTAGGGTTTTCTCATGGCTTGATAATTCATTTTTTTAAATTGTTGTTATGCCATTGTATGTTTGTTATCCATTCATCTGTTGGAGGATATATTGGTTGCTTCTGAGTTTTGGCTGTTGTAAATAAGGTTATTTCTGAATTTTGGCTATTGTGAATAAGGATGCAATACATATTTGTGAACATATTTTGTGTGGACATAAATTTTCAACTCATTTGGGTAAGTACCTAGGAATGCAATTGCTGGATTGTATGATAAGCCTACATTTAGCTTTGTAAGAAACTACCATGCTGTCTCCCAAAGTGGCTATAAGATTTTGCATTCTCATCAGCAGGGAATGAGAATTGTAGTTGCTTCACATCCTCACCTGAATTTGGTGTTTTCATTGTTTAGGATTTTAGCCTTTCTAATAGGTATTTAGTGGTATCTCATTGTTGTTCTAATTTGCATGTTCCTAGTGACATATGATGTCTATTATCTTTCCATATGCTTAATTCCCATCTCTATATCTTTTTTGGGGAAGTGTCCATTCAGATCTTTTGTCCATTTTGTTGATCGAGTTGTTTGGTTTCTTCTTGTTGAGTTTTAAGAGTTCTTTGTGTATTTTGAATACAAGTTTTTCATCAGATATATACTTTGCCAATATTTTCTCAAGTCTGTGACTTGTATTTCTCTTAATAGTGTCTTTGCAGAACAGAACTTTTACATTTTAATTAATTGAAACTTATCAACATTTTCTTTTATGGATTGTGATTTTGGTGTTGTACCTAAAAAGTCATCACCAAACCCAAGGTCATCTGATTTTCTCCTATTTATCTTCTAGAGTCTAGACATTTTATAGTTTTGCATTTTACATTTAGATCTATGATACATTTTGAGTTATTTTTTGTGAGAAATGTAAAGTCTGTGTCTAGATTAATTATTTTTGCATGTGGAGATATATTTCTTGCACCATTTATTGAAAAATCTATTCTTTCTCCATTGCATTTCCTTTGCTCCTTTGTCAAAGATCAGTTGACAATATGTGTGTAGGTCTATTTCAGGCTCTCTCTTCTGTTCCGCTGATCTATTTATCTATTCTTTCACTTATACCACACTGTCTTGATCACTGTAGCTTTATAGTAAGTCTTGAAGTTGAATAGTATTAGTCCTCTGATATATATCTATGTATCTATAGTTTTATCTATAAAGACATATTGCCTAGGCCACACCCCAGACCAGTTGAGTCAAAATCTCTGATAGGACTTCAGTACATATTTTTAAACCTTCCCAGGTAATTTTGATGCCCAGGGAGAGCTGAAACCCACTATAACAAGACCATAAACTCTTAAGGAGTGGCTTGTATGAGATGCTTAGTTGTTGAATGAACAAATGATGAAAAGAACCGAGGGTATTTTTCCTGGAGAAGAGAACAAGTATAGGGTCTTGATAGCTCACCATACACACCTACCCGAAAGCCTTTCATGTGCCATTTCCTGAAGGATGCGTTCTGAGTACTCCCGGAGGCAGCATTGGAAGTTTACAGAGGCACCTGGCTGCATATTAGGAAGCACTGCCTTAGAGTGCAACTTGCAAGTGAGCTCCTTTTTCCTGCAAATGTTCCAACAGGGCCTAGAAAACCCTCTGTCGGAGGATGCTTGCTGCATGTGGTGGGCAATTGGGTAAGATCAGATGCTATGATTATGGATCATTAGTGTGAAACACTATGTCCAAGGCAGAGCACTGTTTCTGGGACTTCCGGTAGTTGGAATGGCAAAGTACTTGGCCTGGGAAAGGTGAAAGATATTTAACAGAAGAGCTCTTTCTGTCCTCATGGAGTTCTTCCTCTGATGCCTTCTGCAATTAGATTAATTTGGGCCCATTGAATGGAGGGGAGGTGTAGGTATCTGTCAGGAGAAATGGATAAATACCATAAAACTTCTACTGCACTTAAATAATTGATCAGGCATAATGTTGGTTACCTGCTGTTTGCCAGGCAGTAGGAAGAGGGATAAGCAGTTGATATAAAATTGACTACCATAGCAGAGAGAAATAAAGCATAGGTGTAGGAGTCAGACTAGAGTTGGGGCACTTTGGCCATTTACCAGCTGGGTAGTCTTGGGAAAGTCACTGCCCTCTCTCACCCGTCATATTCTGTTTTTCAGCAGGTTCTGCTGCTTCCAAGCTGTGTCCTTAGAATTGACTTGTTTCTTCTTATCTTATCTTCCAATGTATTAGTCTAAGTCAGTTGTCAGCAAACTTATTCGTCAACAGCCAAATATCAACAATACAACGATTGAAATTTCTTTTGAGAGCCAAATTTTTTAAACTTAAACTATATAGGTAGGTACATTGTTATTAACTTAATTAGGGTACTCCTAAGGCTTAGGAAGAGCCACACTCAAGGGGCCAAAGAGCTGCATGTGGCTCGTGAGCCGCAGTTTGCCGACTACAGGTCTAAGTCATTACCATCTTCTCTCAACTGGAGTCCTGAATCTAATAACTAGATTCTATCACGCTCTCCTCTTCTTTTTTTAAATATATTTTATTGATTTTTTACAGAGAGAAAGGGAGAGAGGGATAGAGAGTCAGCAACATCGATGAGAGAGAAACATCAATTAGCTGCCTTCTGCACACCTCCTACTGGGGATGTGCCAGCAACCAAGGTACATGCCCTTGACTGGAATCGAACCTGGGACCCTTCAGTCCCCAGGCCAATGCTCTATTCACTGAGCCAAACCAATCAGGGCTCTCCTCTATTTTTCATCATTTAGTGATCTTGTAAAAATGTAAATTAGACCTTGACCTTCTGCTTAAAACCTTCCAGAGCCCTCCCATTGCTAAAATTTAGGACAAAATCTGAACTCCTAGTTATGACCTGGAAGAGGCCCTACATGATCTGATTCCCGCCATCTCTCTAAAGAGCAGGATGTAGAAGGGGAGTTGGTGAGGTAATGTTACCTCCGAGGGGGTATTTGGAAATGTGTGGGTTTTTGTTTTACAGTTTCAATGATACTTACTGGCATTTAGGGGGTGCTGGGCTAGGGTTGGTTGGCACATGTCCTGTAATGTGTTGTTTAGCTCAGGGCCCATTCCAATGCCTGATTTATGGTAGGTGTTTAAGAACACTTGTATGAAACCACATTCTTCTGGACCTCAGTGTTCACCCGTGTAGATTGGTAGAGTGCCTACTTCCTAAGACTGTGGTGAGACAGACATAACCTTTTATAAAGCGCCTGGCACACAATAACACTTAATCCAGGGTGATTGCTGCAGAGCTTTCTTTGCTGTGACTGGGTATAAGCGGCCGCCCATCCTTTCCCCCGGGGCATTAGAATTAGACCCTGTCACCTTTGTGGGGGGTGGGAAGGTGGGTGCACCTCTTTTTCTGAAGCCTAATCTGATGGAGCCGAGGTTTGACTTCAGTTGTCCTGGAGTCCAGGCCGGGCTGCAGAAACGAAGGCACAGAGGTTCTCTTCCTGGCCCCTGGGGCTCACCCAAAACCCTTAACTGGCCCGTGGGAAGCCTAGTCTAAGTGAAAAAATAACCTCCTGCTGGAGACTCAGAGCTGAGAGGGAGGGAAGGTAGTAGTCTCCCCTCCCGCTCTCAGTGCTTCTCAGAAAGGAGAAGCGCGGCTTCCTCCCGCCTCCTGGCCTCCCTTCTTCCCCCGCCCCTTCTGCTTCGCCAACCCCGAAGCAGCGCCTTCACTGCGCGCTGCGAGGGCGGGAGCGTGCTGCACCCGGGAGCTGGGGCGCGGAGCTGCTGGGAGCCCTGCTCCCGCCGACCAGAGGCCCGGGTGGAGCTCGGGCTTTGCGTGGCCAGGCCCGGCGGGAGAGAGGTGCGGCTCTGCGACAAAAACAGTGGCCAGAGATGCCGGGGCCAGCTCTCCCCACCAGGTATTGCCGGCCCAGCAGGGCGATGCTGGGGAGGGGTTAGTGTCTGCAGGCTTCGGAGCAGTGGTGCTGCAAGGTTTGGTAGCTTTAGGGTCTCTTCCCTTAAGAGATCCCAAATGAGAGAAGGGCTGAAGGTGGAATCCTCCGAGGAGCCGACGCTGGGCTAGGCTAGCACTGGGATCAGAGCTGTGGCAGGGAAGGGCGCGAAGGGGAAGCTGGGTTTTGGGGAACTGCTCCGCCTCAGGAACCTTGCTCCTGTACCAGCACCCGCCTGCTTGGTGGCTAGGGCGATACTTTTCCCTTGCCTTCGCTTAGCTACATGCCAGCTGGGATGGTGGGTTCATTTTCCCTCTAGGGTGCTGGGGAGGGGCATTATATTATAAGTGACCTGTTAAGAGGTCCAGTAAACTGGGAGATAGGAAACTTGGGGGGCTGGCCCTGTTCCAGGAGCCTCTGTGGGCCTCAGTTTCCTTATCTCTCCAGCGAAGGGCTTGACATTCTGTTTGCAACTCTGGCTTTTCCGGGCTGTCAGATTGCCTCCTGGAAAAGTGAGCTGGTTTTATAAAGTCCTTCCCGTGGGCGGCAGAGAAGCCCCCTTCACCCTGGAGGAGACAGGTGAACTCTGGCAGCAGACCTGTGTCCTGTCTTCTAGCCAGCTTGTGGATGGCATCTTGCTGGTCTGCTCAGGACCCAGTGGCTTTCTGGGCAAGGCAGAGGTTGAGAATGCTGATTGTTTTGGTGTTGCGTGTAGGTGTGTTGTGTGCAGGGAGGTGGGATTAGGAAGAAGCAGGCCAAGGTATGCTAATGGTTTTTCTCAAAACTGACCAGTCTTTTGATACTTAGGTATAAAGCTGTTTTAAACTAGGCTATCCTCTCTGGAACCCCCTTGTTATTCTGCCAAGTTAATGACAGACTTGGGGTCTGGGTAATGTCTTAATCACTATAATCTTTCCTTCTTGATTATCTGGGACCAAGAAATACATGTCAGGCCTGGTATTAACCTACTTGATTATTTAGGACCTCCTTCCTCTCTTCAGTCTTTTTTTTATGACTCTGCCTCCTTGTCTTCCTCTTTCTACTTTTTCTTTCCTACTCCTGGTGATTTTTTCTATCCTGCGCCTGACCCACCTTTTCTCCCAGCCTCAGTTTCGCTCTTCCTGCTCCCTCATGCTTCCCCTGTCTTGTCCCTTCCCCTCCATTGCTAGTTTTTCCTTCTCTCTCTTGGGTCCTGCTCCTGCTTGGTTAGGCGTTCTTCTCTTCCTTTTAGAAGTATTGATAAAGTTTCTCATTATTATTGGGTTATTGGTTGTAGGGACCTTTGCTCTGGTGTTTGTGTGGTCTGAGCACTCTCTAACTCCCACCTACCTCCCTGGCTTTGGCCTACACTTACAAATCCTTTCCTCCCCAGTGTCAGCCTCTCTCCTCACTGCCTCAGTGCCTTGCGTTGGGCCTACCAATAGGCAGCCTTTCTTCCTGGATTGGTTCCCCACCTCCTTCCTGGAGGGGACTGGGCAGCAGCAGGCAGTAGGGAGAACGTAAGTTGGGAGGTGGGAGGTTGAACACTAGCCTGGGAGGAGAGCAGGAGGGTCCAGTAGGACTGGGCAGAAGCTCACATTCTGGTAAGGTTGACTGGGAGAGGAACAAGACTCTGGCATCTCTGAGGTGTTACTGACCTGGAGGAAAAGAGGTTAACCTTTGTGAGCCCAGAGAAGATGAGGGGGATAACAGGGGTGAGGTGGAGGCAGAGAAGCAGGAGTTCTGGGGGAGAACAGTGGTCTTTTGAAGAAGAGGGTGGCCTGGACAAGATGGGGGTTATTTGTGGATAGTGGTGTGAAAGAGGAACATACAGGTTAATCCTCCTTCCCTCTGAAGGCTGGCTTTTCGGACTGGGTTGTTTCTACTCAGCAAACTCTTCTTGGGCAGTGTTCTCACAGTAAGAGAGTGAGAGGGGAAGCGGAGATAAGGCAGGATTGCAGCTTTCCTGGCACTTACTGTCTAGACTAGAATGTGGAATGTGTATACACACAAAAAGCTTTGAATATGGCATCCATCCATCATGAGACATTGTCTGAATCATCTATTCTGGGTTAGTTATGGTATCAGGTGCTGGGGATACACAAATGGAAACTGGACTCAGTTGCTGCCTCCCAGTACAGGTGAAGGAGTACGGATATCTGTAACCTCATGCCATAAACGTATGTGGTATAAAAGAAGTACAAAGGGCCGTGATAACACAGAGGGAACTTTTGATTCATCAAGTCAGCGACAGAGCTGGGTCCTAAACTCAAGTCTTCTTTAAAGGTGACCCCTAGTCTCTTACATCTTCTGGCCCTGTGTGTACATATAGTGTACATAGAGTTTCCTTATATTCTCATTTCTGCCTACCTATGGGGTTAGACTCTAGGTTCTGCTGAGAAGGAAAAAGAACAGTTCTATATGGTAGGTCACTGTGCCATGGCCAAACAAACACTCATTACCTTGGAAGGGTAAGAGACTTGGTCCCTGTTCACTTCTCCTGGCTCTAGGCCATTGGGTGACTTGGTGCTGAGTTCCCTCTATGAGTCATTGGCTCTATTCCTCTCCTTCCTGGGAGGCCCCTCCTCCCTCCCCAGTTTTCTTCAGTTCAACTTCTGGCGGGCAGTACAGTTCAGAGACCAGATGAAGCTAGGCGAGGCATTTTACTTCCATTGGCATCTGTAATATAAGGATTTAGCAGCTCATAGGACTGGTGAAGATCAAGTGAAATAATGCATATGTGAAACTGCCCTGGAACTTGTAAAGCGCTCTGTACAAATGTTACTGTAGTTGTTCCCGAATGCATGTTCAGCCAGGAAAAATGCTCAGGTGCTGCAGCCTGAAAGAAGTGCTCAGGGTTGCTCACTGACGACAGCTGAACCCCAACCCTTGATCATAAAGGAAAAGGAGGGGGCTAGAGAGTGATTTGGAGACCCCATGCTGAAAGAGGTATAGTGATTTGTTTAAGGTCAAGCAAATAGTAGGTGGCAAGTATAAAAATATATTGTTTTTAGTGATGCCTTGTGATATAGGAAAAAAAAAAAAAAGAAAGAAAGGAAGGAAGGGGGAGGAATTTAAAAGCAGACTGACCTCAATTCAAATTCTGGTTCTACCACTTACTAGCTATCTGGTTTTTAATCTTTCTGAGTTTCATATGTAAAATAGAAGATATTTATACTTACCTTGAGGAGCTATAATAACATTTCAAAATAATTCTGTAAAAAAGAAAAATACATACAGTAGGGACTTGATAGCTATACTTATTCTTACCTTGCAAAAATAAACTCTGAAGTCACCTTCTTAAGGAAGTCTCCCCTCGCTGTGGGGCTACTAAGGGCCCCTCTTTTGGATTCATGCAGCACTCATGTGCTTCCTCTCATCACGCAGTGGCCCTTACCATGCTGTCCTATCATTGTGGTTTATGCATCTGCTTCTCCCATTAGTATGCGAATATTTTGAAAGCAGCCACAGTGTCTGGTAAATCTTGGTGTCTACTTGGTGTGTACTCTTGCTAAGCCCTATGTAGTTGCTAGGAGTACATTGGTAAACACAGCAGACTTAGTTGCTCCTTTGGGAAGCTTACTGTTGATTGAGGAAGATATATAGTAAGTAAGCAAATAGAATTAAAATTCACCATAGATGCTGTGAAAAGCAAGTGTTCCATTTGGTTTCTATCTCTCTCTCCCTCTCCCTTCCTCTCTGAGGTCAATAAAAATATATTTAAAAAAAGACTTCCATTTATTTATGTCAGGTTTAAGATACGTATGAGAAATACAGGTGGGGTTGTCTAACAGATTGTATTTAGTCTGAAAGACAGATTTTGGGCTAGAGACAGACACTTGGCTAGAGATATCAACATATAGATGATACGTAAAGCCATGGGAATGGATGAGATCATTTGTTGGAGAGTGTAGTGTATGAAGAATGGAGGTTCCTAGTCTTGGACATATAGAGGATAGCTAGTGAAGGAAGATAGGAGTAGACAGAAAGATAGAAGGAAAGACAGGTGAATGTGCATTCCCAGAAGCCAAGAAAATAGAGCATTTGAAAGAGAAGGGAGATCAGTTATGTTGAATGTTGCTGAGAAATTGAATAAGGTGAGAATAGAATAGTTGATTTGGTTTTTTATTTATTTTTTAAAATATGTTTTTATTGATTTTTTTTAGAGTGAGAGGAAGGGAGAGAGAGAGAGAGAGAAACATCCATGTGAAAGAAAAACATTGATTGGCTACCTCCTGCACACCCACACTGGGCATTTGAAACATGGGCATTCAATTCCCTGACTGGGAATTGAACTGGCGTGACCTTTTGGTGCTTGGGAGGACACTCAACCAACTGAGCCACACTGGCCAGTTGATTTGGCAACATGGATATAATTGGTAATCTTGAAAGACTACTTTTGGTGAAATAATAGGATGTTAGTTGGCAAACAGAAGGGGAGGGAGTTGGATAGTGTACTAGTAAGTAGACACTCCTTTTGAGAAGTTTTGCTATAAATGGGAACAAAAAACTAAGTGGTATTTGGAGGAGGATGTTGGTGTCAAGGGAAAGGAGTGTGTGTGTGTGTATGTGTGTGTGTCTGTCTGTCTGAATAGGAGACACATAGGATATTTACCCAGTGTTCTTATATCAGACCAAAAATTTGAAGATAAAGTTTGATTTTTTTCTTTTTCTTTTTTTCTCACACTGTACATTCACTCTCGAAATAAATAATTTGGCTCTACCTTCAAAATATATCAACCTTGGTAATACTTCTTTCTACTTACTACCATTCATTCAAGCCACCATTAGTTCTCACTTGGATTATTGTAATTACTTCTTAATGATCTCACTACTTTTCCTCCCCTGAGATCACTGCTCAAAACTCTTCACTGTTTTCTCACACTTACTGCAAAATCCAAACTTACTGTGTTCTGTAAGGTCCTGCATAATCTAACCTCTGGCTGTCATCTCCAATCTCACTTTCCTTCCACATTCTCCTTGTTCAC